TCCTCCAGGGGAAGAAATCTGACTGGCAAAGGAGTGCCCTGAGGAGAAGGGCCTGGGCATGATGATGGGAAATGCCACAGGAGCCACTGGGCCTCACATTTACAAAGGAAAGTGGATAAAGTGGAGAGGGTCCAGAGGAGGTCTGATAAGATGGAACAAGGCGGCCTAAAGCACAAGCTGTGAGGAGAGTCTGAGGGAACTGAGGCTCTCTGGCCTTTTGAAGGTGAGGCACATGTTTATCCTAGGAAGAGCATACAGCTACCTGGCAAGATGAGAGAACCAAGCTCTCCTCTGAAGTTGCCAATGGTATGACAGAGGCAACAGCCACAAACGAGCTCTTGGGAGGTTTAGGCTGAGCCTTAGGAAAAATAAAATGTACCAGGAGACTGCTGTCATCTCTACCTTTGCAGCTCTTCGCATTTCAGCTCCAAAACATCATAGTCAGACTGGAGACTGGCAGAGACACCCCCAACAGTTTCTTCCACACCAATAGTTCCATGACCATGTAATTTCTGATGTGTTCTACAAGAAGAGATTAAGCTGGGTATGAGGTCCTCTATATCTTAGGACAACTTGAGGTTGAAGAGAGCTCAGCAGGTCTTAATTCCAGTGCCCAGCTCAAAGTAGGGACAGCTCTGAGGTCAGCCTACCTTGCACAGCAAATGTCAGCATCCACTGAGAGAGTTTACACATGAACCAGGCATCTAAGCCCCCAGTACACAAAAGCAGAAGATGCATGTGACCAACTCCCTGAACACAGATATTGGTATGTCAGACCTCCTGAGATGCCGGGGAACATCCACCTTCTACAAGCTTCCTGGAGTATCTCCCCACCATGGGGTGCATTAGGCTGTAAACAGAACTGAAAGTAAGGCCCTGGGTACTCTCAACTTCGTTGCTAAAAGAGAGTGAGGCGGAAAGGTGCTCCTCTGGAGGATTTAAGACCTTTGAGGAAGGTGCTGAAGATAAGAGTTTGGAACTAGCACAGCCTTTAGATCAACTCCACATGTGATGGCTCTACTTTCAAGTTTCAATCATTGGCACTGAGAAACCTGACCGGTTCTTCTCCTCCCAAAAGCTCAGCAAGAGGTGGGAAGAAAGGAATCAGAAAGGTCCCAAACCTCTGTGAATCAACTGGGGTCTGGCACTTGGAGGGCCACAGTGTCATTTCCTTGTATATCTGACAAAGAATGAAGCTGGGAAGCAAGTCTGCAAGGGCAAGTCAAGGAAGTCCATGAACAGGCAAAGCTGTGTCTGTGGCTGGGTTTGGAGACCAGTGCACCTACAGCACAGATGAAGCTGGGGCTGAAACTCAGGCCTATACTAAAAGGGTCTCCTGGGCCCACGGAACAGACGTGTGGGTGGAGGCCCCAGGTGAGGTTGGTCAGGCACAAGAAGGCCTATGGATGCTCTCAGGGCCCTGACACTGCACTCATGGGATCCCGCTTTCCAGTGCCCTCAGGAGGCCAAATTCTCATTCCCTCATGTCCAGGGTCTGTGCTCTGATGCTCTCCTTCCCCACATCCCTGAGGATCTGAGAGACCACAATTTCATGGTCACTATGAGCAAGGTTGACAGTGGTCTTCACATTCCTGACCAGCTCACCTTCTTTTGCGACTAACTGATTCAGGTAAACATGAAATTGGGTTGCCTGTTTTGCAGCTGTGCTCAGAACTTTTCCACAAACACCACTAGAAACCTCTTGGACTGTTTGCATCCTGCTGTCTCACTTGGCCAGTGAATCCTGTGGAGACTGAGGAATCCCCCATCAGAGCGAGGGGCTGGGATTCACAGATTTCCTCAGCACATTTAAAGTAGACAGTATTCACTCCTCACCTGGACCTGGCTGGGATGGAGTGAATTCTCTTCACAGCAGACCGTGTGGTGATCTGCTTTGGATTTGTAACTAAACCAGCACTGATAACACAGCAGCGGTTTGGACACCGCTGAGCAGTCCTTGCAGAGCAGGAAAGCTTCCTCTTCCTCGCACTCTGCCCACCCAGCATGTAGTCCGGAGGTATACAAGAAGTTGGCAGGGGCACAGCTGGGACAGCTGACCGCAAATGACCAAAGGGATATTCAATTCCATACAATGTCATGCTTAGCCAGACCACCTCATGGAAAGATGGAGGAAGGGGGGACATTTATGATCATAGTGTTTGTCGTCCCGAGTCCCTGACACACCTGATGAAGCCCTGTCTTCATGGCTAAACCACTGCCTACCCATGGGAATTAGGGAATTTATTCTTCATCTTGCTTTGCTGGCACCCCCAGGTTTTGCTTCTCCTGTTCAACTGTCTTTGCTTTTGTGCTTCTGTTTCTCTCCGCTGTCCTGCTGGGGATGTAGTCGGGGAGTGAGCAAGTGAATTTGAAGGTGCTCAGTTTCTGGGTTGGGTCAAAGCATACAGAACTCCTTCCACAGTCTCCTCCTTTCTAGCCTCTTCTTCGACCCACACAGCAGCTCCCACCTAACCTGTTGCCTGTCCCATGGAGGAGCTGCACATATCTGAACTGCCCTGAAATCACCCAGCGCATCCCTGGCTCCTCATTTCCCCTGACGGTCTCTCCTAAGGTTGTTGTATCTCCATCCACCACAAGAACCATGGGAGCTGTCCTTCCCCATCTCAGCTCTTGTTCCACTGAGGTCACAGCTCTGCGTTGGTTCTTCCT